GAGTCCAGCAGAGGGCTACAAAGATGAGGAGGGGACTGGAGCATCTCTCCTCTGAAGAAAGGCTGAGAGAGCTGGGCCTGTTCAGTCTGGAGAAGAGAAGACTGAGGGGGCATCTGATCAACGTGTACAAGTATCTGAAGGGGGAGTGTCGAGAGGATGAGGCCAGTCTCTTCTCCGTGGTGCCCAGGGACAGGACAAGAGGCAACAGGCACAAACTGAAACGCAGGAAGTTCCATCTGAACATGAGGAAAAACGTCTTTCCTGTGAGGGTGACAGAGCACTGGAACAGGTTGCCCAGAGAGGTGGTGGAGTCTCCTTCCCTGGAGCTATTCAAAACCCGCCTGGACATGATCCTAGGAAATATGCTCTAGAGGACCCTGCTTGAGCAGCAGGGATTTGACTAGATGATCTCCAGAGGTCCCTTTCAACTTCAACCATTCTGTGATTCTGTAACTCAATTGTGAGGAGGTTAAATATGTTACATAGACAGATTTATTAAAAACAGAACTCGGAGCAAGTCAAGAGGCCATGTGGCTTGAAAATTAGAGAGGTTTCTGATTTGCTGGTGATGTTGGCTGACTCAGCAGCCTTTCGTTGCTCCTGAACTTTAGAGGAAGAAAAGGCATTAAACTAGTTCCAGTCAGTGATCTCCTCCTTTTGAAGTTTTAGTTTTCCTAAAAATTCCGTAACAGGGCAACTTTTCAGTAAGGCTCACATATCTATTATTATCCAGGCAAAGCTTAAGTACATTACCAGAAAGAGAGGTACAGAAGATTTGGAGGCAGAAAAAACAAGGCATTTATACAGAATAGGAGATTAGAAGAATAGGTTGTGTTAGCAAAATATTGATATGTATTTTATATATATATATAATAATATACATTTTTTTGCTTCAAAGGTGCTGCATGCCTGATGTTGTTGGTGGCATTTTGCCTATACCATAAGTGGACATCTTACAACCAGCTAGAGGCATCAGATTGCTACCTTTGGTCAGTACTGAATTTGGGGGAAACACCCCACACCCACAGTTAGTTCTTCAACCTTCCAATTTTGCCATGGCGTGAATAGGAGGAAAAACAATGCTTTAAGTCTTGCAAAGGCCCACGGTTTCCTTTGGTGTACTAC